ATTTATATTGTATTATATTATATTTATTATAGTAATATTTTAAATAAAAAATATGATGATGCTATTACAAATAATATACTTGGACTACTTACAGCTGATTCGGAAGATACGATTAATAAATTATTTGATAATATTCAATTACTTGATGAAAATTTAAAAGGTTAAAATATTTAAATTTTTTTTAAATAATTGATTAGAAAGTATTTAATAAATTTTTTTTTTACTAGATTGGGTCTTATTCTATCAGCAAAAATGGGTCATCTCATCAACTAATAAAAATATTTCACAAATAGATGATTATTTTTGAAGAATAGCACCTAACAATACTAATGTAGCGGAAGCTGCACATGCTTTAAGTAATCAACGTGAAAAAGGTCTTCAATTAATGAATGCAATTTTACAGTATATATACATATATTATTGCTTAATAAATATTATATATATATTTATTTATTATTATTTTTGTAGAGGATATAAATTAGATAAAGAAAGATTTACTACGATTAATATTCATCAACAATATAATATATCTCAACAAGGATGTAGTAAAGGCCCTATATCACGTAATCTTTTATCAAATAAGCGCAAAGATAAATTAGCTAAGAATAATTAATAATAATTTATTGCAAATTATTTATTTTATTATATTATTAAATTTATTTTTATAATTAGCCAAGGCTCAAACTAAAAGATTAAATACAACAAAACCAAAAACCAATAAAAAAAAAAAAATTCTATGACAAAAAGACAAAAACTCAAAGAATAGTTACTGAATCCGAAGACACTAATGAAAGCAGTAATGAAGGAAGTTCAAAATCTGACAAGCTAGAATACTTAAAATGAAAATTGGCATTAAAAGAACGTGAACTTGATTTGCGAGAGAGAGAAGCAAAAGTTCATTCAATTGAACTATCAAATCTTGAAAAAGAACGGAAAATAAAATCTGCTAATTAATTAATGTTGTCGATATAGTTAGTTAAGTTATAAGATATTGAATATAATAAATAAATGCTCAATTGCTATAAGTTTAAATATTGTATATAAAATATTTATTCTTCAAAATATATATTAAATTTTTTAGTATACAAGTTTGTGCAAATATATATATTTAAATATAGTATGCTATTTATATACATAATCGCTATTTTAATAGCATACACCACTACTTTGATCAACCATACATCACAACT